TCAGAGAAACACAATGAATATTAGAAAAATCTCCTCAAAGAGGACTTGTGAGCAGCAGAGGATGCCCCCAATTCTAAACATTTGACTCCTCACATCTAAAGGTGCCAGGATACTCCTTTCACCATAACCAAGACAGCTAGCTGCGTTGGTTATGGTGATTGGAATATTCATTTAAAGAGGAACTATCACTTACTAAGTTTTAGCACAATTGGATAGCTAATTAAGTTAGCTATTGCTTGTGCAATTTTTTTTATATATTATTTTGCTTTACATGTGTTACCGGACAATGCCCGGTAAAGTATAACAATTAGTAAAAGTAACACTATAGAATTAGGAATACAAACATGTATTCCTAATTCTATAGTTATTAACTACTTATGTCAGTGCCCCCACCATATGAACGTTTGAAAGGCAAGATTTACCTTTCAGCCCTGGATTTGCCAGTCAACATTCTGTTGATCCACCTAAGATTTTAATATAAGGAATACAAAGTTGTATTCCTAACACTATAATTATGTCTGCCCCTCCCCCTCCCCTTCTATAGTACATAAGGGTTAAAAAACTATTTAATCACTTACCAGATGTTTCTCGGCACTGGGTCGTGCTCAGCCTCTTCAAACATCATGTGATGGGGGACCTAATGCCTATGCATGGCAAGGACCCCATAGGTAAGCACTGCCTTAATGTTTTCCTATGGAGTTCTCTCATGTTGGAAGTCCTCATACAAAGTGTGAGAACGTCCAGCGTCATTTCACACAGGCAAACGGTTTTACACTGCAGGACTAAGAGGGTCAGGGACAGTGTACCCAGAGCACTTCAATGAGATAACAGTGATCTCAGCCAATACAATGTTTCTTGACAGGGAAACATTTTGAGGCTAATGTGCATGCATGGTAACACCACACTGCATCAATTAAACTGTCTCTATGAAACCATCTGATTAATACCAGAGTTTAAATTGGCTAGTGGATGTCCCTTTAATGCATAACCAATAATACAGGGTTAAAATTAGAGGGGAATGGCACCCAGACCACTTCATTTAGATGAAGTGGCCTTGGTGTCTTGCTGGGTATATTGACTATATCAAACAAGAACTATGGATCATTTTTACAACAAGTACAAACACCAATTCTCAAACCATAAATTTGGGGAGATCCTCTCAGCTTGGAGTATTGTCAGTGGAGCACATGGCATGATACAAACAACATTCTCCCCCTTCCTCCCCCACCCCATTATTTTTTGTTTTTAGAGATGAAGATCCTCGTATTTGCTTGTAAATACATTTTTTTTTTCATAAGATTTGTGAATGAAAAACCTATCTAGTAGGTTATACATATTTTAGACAGGTGCCCTCCGAGGCACAGTTTACAGCATATTTAATAGACTGTAAGCTTGTTTGACCTATAGACTGTAAGCTCATTTGAGCAGGGTCCCCTTCAACCTATTCTTCCTGTAAGTTTTCTTGTAATTGTCCTATTTATAGTTACATCCCCCTCTCATAATATTGTAAAGCGCTACGGAATCTGTTGGCACTATATAAATGGCAATATTAATTCAGTTTAGTAGATAGGTGCCCTTAAAGGCATGAAGTTCTACAACTACATTAACCATAAATAGCTCTTTTACAATACAATAATGTCGCTCTGCAATTTTATTACTGCATGTTAATTTATTGCACTCATATTAACACAGTATTTTGCTGTCTCACTGCAGCAAACATCATTTGTTCGGTCTATTCTTGTATATATTCCAGTTATGTAAATTTAAGGCTGGTATAACTCTCTCTAAGAGGTCAATGTTGGTTCAGTCATAAATTTTACCCATAGATTTTAGCTATTTTTTGATAATTCTCCATTGCTTTATTGTATTTTGTAGTACTCTTTTGTTATAGTAAGCTTATAATATTTGTCTGATTGCCAAATTAGTGCTTCTATTTATTTATTTATTTTAAATCTATTGATTCTGATTCCAGTTTATAACAAGCTTCCCATTTTGATTCTACTGTTTAGAGTTTATGTACTATCATGTTGGCTAGGTAAATTTCTCTAATCATTGGGTTTCCTAAGCCTCCTCTCCAGCCATTTTTGGGTAGTATAGAGGCATTTATTCTTGTTTTGTTTGTTAAATGAAATTTGTAAAACATCTTTGCATCATGTGCAGCCAGCTTTATGTATTTTCAATGCAGGTAGACATTAAGTATATACATAAAAGTTGGCTGGACAGTTATACGTAATCTTCGTAGATTACACTCCATTTTATGTCTGAGTGCCTTATTTCTTGATGTGCTTTTAATTTCTCTGCAGATGAGTTTAGTTTGATGTCCTCTGAAAGATTATAAAATTTAATATAAATACGCCCATTTTGGGATTATATTGGATTTAATTGTATTTATTTTACCCCACCAGGATATATCTTGAGCTCTCCATTCTTTAAAGAAGCTTTGTGGGTAAATCTCAATAGCTTGTCAAAATTGATTTACATTATTTTTTTTATATTCCCTGGAATTGTAATTCCTATGTATTGGAAATCTTGTTTGGTTCACTGAAAATAATACTGTGATCTTAAAGCATTTAGTTCTTCCATATCAACCTTTTTGACTAGTACCTTAGTTTTTTCCACATTTAGCTTGTAATTTGATATCTTACTATAGGTGTCAAATTCCTTCATTAGGGCGGGTTGTGAAATTGCAGGGTTGGTAATAGTGATGGACTATATCATCGGGATATACGCAGATCTTGAAATCATTAACTTAACCTTGGTTATTATACAATTGATGAGTTGATTATTTCTGATGCATAATGCTAGGGGTTCTATTGAAATGTCATAAAGCAATGGTGATAAGGGACAGTCTTGTCACGTCTCTTTAGTGATGTTAAACCAAGTTGTATAGAAATCATAACTTACTATTTTTGCCGAGGGTGATGAGTAAAGTGTCTTAATTGCGTTGTATATCCACTAATCAATACCAAACAAAGTTAACACTCTATCCAGATATCCCCACCCTACTCTGTCGAACGATTTTTCCACGTCAATCGACCATCAGGAGGGGGATACTCTGAGATTCTGCTCTATCCAATATATCAATTACTCTGCGTGTGTTGTTACATGATGATTTGCCTGGGATAAATCCTATCTGATCTGGATGAATTATGGATAGTATGACCAATTTAATTCTATCTGCTAAAAGAGCTGCGTATAGTTTGATGTTGACATTTTTTTAAAGCAATATGGTGATAATTTGCTACTACTGCAGAGTTTGTCTTGTTTAAGAATTGGGATAACATTGGCCTTTAGTAGTTCTGTTTTTTTTTCATTTTTTAAAAAAATGATTTTATTAAAAGCCATAAGCAGCCACGGTGTAACCTCTTTTTTGAAGAATTCAAAAAAAAATATTAGTGTATCCGTCTGGTCCTGGAGTTTTGAGCTCATTCAGTCTATTGATAGTGTTTTCTACTTCTCCTGGAAAAATCTCCCTGTTTAGAGATTGTAGTTGTTGTTATTTTTGGGATATTAGGATTTTTTAAGTAGTCTTCTATTAGATTAGAGGAAGTGTTGGATGGTGTATTGTAAAACTTTTTGTAAATTTACCAATTTCATCTGAGGGATTTAGTTTTCCCATCTATATTTATTCATTTTTTTTCCAGTTTTACTCTTCATTAGTTTATCCGTCAGTAGTTTATCTGCCTTGTTATTTCTGTAATAGTATTTTATATGTTGTTTTTATAGATTGTACTCTATTTTATGTCTGAGTGCCTTATTGATTGATTCTTGATGTGCTTTAAATTTTTTTAATTTCTTTGAGGATGGGTTTAGTTTGATGTTTTTTGATAGATTCTAAAATTTGATATAAAGTTCAGACAAACTCATTCCTCTATTATCTTGGCTAGCTAGTTTTATCCTCTTGTTACTGCTTTGTATGTACACCAGAGGGTATCTTTTGCTATCTGATTGGATGCATTTTCTTCAAAAAAGTACGGCTACGGCCGTGCTACGATTACCTCATCCCAACAATTATTAGTGTCCTGCGTTAAGCCACATGGACCAGTCTCGGTTACCAACTTGGCCCGCTGGGTATGATGGCTTTTATCTCTCACTGGAATTGATCCTTCAGCGCGCACTTGGTTTGGGGTGCAGTGGTCTCTCAAGCCTTCACAGCGGGGGCACACTTATCAGATATATCACTCTCGACAGAGTGGTGACGAGAACTCACCTTTCGGACGTTTAACTCTCGGCCGTCCTCTATTGCCATTTTCTCTCTATTACTTTGCGTTAAAAATGCTAAAGAATCACAGTAAGAAGAGGCTGGACGTCCATAGGTAAGCATTGAGAAATGCTTTCCTATGGACTGATTGAATGCGCGCGTGGCTCTTGCCACGCATGCGCTTTCAGAGCTGACTTCGGAAGAGGGAGGAGAGTTCCCCAGCGCCGGCGAAAGGTAAGTGATTAACCCCTTCTGCCCGGCGAGCGTGGGACCTAAAGACCCTTGTCCTGATACAATTTTTTGTTATTTTTTTTTTAATCAAAAACATATTTAAAGGACCACTTTAGTGCCAGGAAAAACTCGTTTTCCTGGCACTAAAGTGGTCCTTTAAATATGTTTTTGATTAAAAAAAAATGGTATCAGGACAAGTAGATTGGGCAAACGCTCTAGTCCCTGGAAAAAGTAGTAGTTTGTTTTTTTACACCAACTCTAGCCCTGGGATTAGTCAAGAGCTCAGCCTGAGAACTGCAAATGCCTTTTTGAAGGCAAACACAATCACTTTAAGCAGAGCTGCAGATACCTGCATGGAAGGAAAGTTGCAAAGGGGACGATACCTGCCTGGCAGAAGAGTCTGGTTGGGTGGAAGTGTTCTGGTGAGACCCCAGTCAAGCTTCGGAGACTGGGACTGAAGTGTTCCAGGCTCCATCCCTACCACCTACAAAGCAGATTGGGCGGAGGCACAAGGTTAGAGTACATAAGCTCAGTCACAGTGCTACATTCTCATTAAGACTTGCCATTTCTGACACTCTGAGCATTAATTCCATTATATTTGTATGTTAGGACTAATAATATTATTATTGCCATTTATATAGCACCAACAGATTCCGTAGCACTTTACTATATTATAAGAGGGGCATATGCTGCATTCAGTTACCTGTCAGTGAAAGTGTTTTCTTAAATTTTTCTTTTATATTACCATTTTCATTTGTGTATGGTTTCCAGGTCTGTGTTGTTTATTTTTTTTTAAATGGTAAATGTACAGAATATCTGTAAGTTATTGGCTATCGGCCTGAAAGTTCACAGATTATCGGTGTCGCCTCTAAAAAAATAAATCCCTATCGGTCGATCCCTACTCAGTTGTGGTGCAGATGCGCCGGGGCCCCCACGGTATATATTTTGCCCTGTAATTACTACTTGGATAAATTGTTTCAAGATCACTTAGACTAGCTACTTTTTTACCTTTCGCAGTAGAGGATGTCTTGAGATTGATCTATTTTAAAATACAAAATGACACACAGCAAACCATGTTTAATCATTTATTTCAATGTGACCTTAAGGACTCCTTATTGGATAAATGAGATCTACTGAAAGTTTTTTATGTATTTTTTCTTCTAATAAAAGTACTTTTTTTATTGTACACTTCAGTATTACTAACAGTACTTTCTTCATATTTATATAGGGAATTTTGTATGATAAGAAAAATACTTAATAAAAACGAATATACATCTCAAAATAAAACTAAATAAACCTTGGCACTGCTGCTGGCTCCTCCTCGGGTTATGTCATTCTGGAGATGTGCCTCCTGATGACATTCCCAATCCTGGTGAAAGATCTGACTCATTGCCCCCCATTCTGGAGTCCAAGATCGGCTCTGTTTCCTCTTGGTTCGGGACTGTGCTCTGCCCTTGAAAGGCATAGACTAATTTTGGCTCAGGAATTGAGCTATTAGAACAAGCCCTTACTTACACTCTTGACCGTCTTAGCCCATTTGCTGTTCTGAAGCTTAAGGTTTTTTTTCTTTTTGATGTAATGTTTCTTGCGTGATTGGGTATAGAATGACCTATAGTTTATTTCCAGTGCTGGGGGTTTCTGTGGCACCTGTTATTTATCTCACTTATTGACTCACTGATGCGGGGGCCATCATGGTAATTTTTCTGTTATGTGTATTAGTCAGTAAATTAAGTTCACTACTTGTAATTTTATGCTTTCCTACTAGACTAATTTACCTGTTATCCCTTTATTTCTTTGAATAATAGAAAGGAAAAAAAGGAGGCAGACTTAGCTGGGAGTACTCTACCCATATAGTTCTTATTAGTGAAATAGAACTATGCTCTTGCCCATGTAATGCTTATTTATACATATGTACAGCCAATCTGACTCCTTTATGTCCTGTTATTTACTATAATGCCTCAATAAAAACCTGTAACAGTTGTTTTTGCCACATAATTACGGTCTTGGAAATTTGATAGACAGGTTCGTTATCAGGCTGAGACCAGACCAAAGATGTTCACTGTGATTTGTTTATTGGTTCTCCAGCACGACCTATGGGAATCATTATATGGGGGACAGCATCATAAAAGTACAACTGATCTCTATTGCTACCCTCGTCATGTTCTGTCATTTCCCCCAACTGTTACTAGCGCAGGCTGTGGAAATAAGGCATTATCCCACTCAGTGTGAAAAATTTCTGCAGTGGATTCCAGGTTCTTGCAGGAGCCTCCATAGACATCAGTGTAGTAGTCAGGATTCCAAGATAATAGCAGCAACCAAAGGGGATAGCATCAGAAAACTACAACTTACTCAGCTTGCCCTGGACCAATGTCACCAACCTGAGTTGTTTGCAAAATATGTAGGTAATACATGTTATGCTTCGGTAGTAGGCTGCATTGATGCGGTAAGATGTGAGTATATTATGTACGTGAGATACATGAGAGTTATACACTGCTGATTATATCTAGTATATGCCTGTTTCATATGAAGGATACCAGCCAGGAACTGCTGTAGTGTCGTTATTTTAGTAAGATGAACCCAGCCTAGGCGTGCATGGTGCGGTGCCGGCAGGGGTTAACTTATGGAATGTGAGGTGCCGCAAACCTGTTGGTAGGCATGTAGTGCACCTTGTCAAATCTAAATAAACGATGAACACAAAACTTAAGTTATGAGAAGTAACATGGGGACCATCTCAGTCGCTATCAGTCCTGGTCAGAGAGCCTCTCGGGGCTTCATGTATTCGCTGTAGCGTACGGATCCGCTGTGTGTCATCGTGGTGTAAACAGGGTGATTTTGCTTGGGTCCCAGTTATTGGGTTGCGACTGAGGTTTTAATAAACGGTCCTGCGGTAGTCCTAAGTCCCTTAGGAGTGTGCCTGCATCTCGTAGATCCTGGAGTTGGTGTGTGGTCTCTCAGTGTATGACCTGGAGCATGCGGGGCAGGCGCCAGCGGTATCCTATAATGCGCTGTTGGAGTAGTGAGGTAAGGGGCTTGAATGACCTCCGCCAGGCCATTGTACTGTTGGACAGGTCACTGTAAAATTCCAATGCCATATTTTCGAAGAGGTAGTTTGGCTTACCCCTGATTGCCTTCAGGATTGCCATCTTGTCTGCTCGGTGCCAGAATTGGATGATCAGGTCGCTCAATGCCGTTGGTGAGGCTTTGGCCGGTTTGGGGATACGGAAAAGCCCGTCCAGGGGAATTGCTTTGGCCTACTTGGGTGGTAGTAGGTCTCCCATCATTCTTCTCATTAAGTGCGGCAGCTCCGCTTCGGGGACCGCGTCGGGTACCCCCTGATTTTAAAATTGTTCCGCCGTCGTAGGTCTTCCTGGGCTGCGAAGCGGCGTTCATGGGCCTGATTTTGCCGCTGGAGGTCCTGCACTGCTCTCTCCAGCACCTGTATCCGCTGGGAGTCCTGGTGGGTGGTAGTTTCTAGTGTGTCGATTCGGCCTGTTAGTCCCTGCAGCCCTCCACGTATCGTGGCAATGTCTGCTTGCAGGGTGGTCTGTAGTTCCGCAAGGAGTCCCTTTAAGGCCGAGATTGTAACCGGGGATGTGTCCGGTTTTGTCTGTTTTGTTGGTGGGGGTTTCGCCAGTGTGATTGAAAGTGTCTCTTCCTCCTCCGAAGCCATCCGAGAAATCGGAACAACCACTCTACAGCGCGGACATCTTGGGCCCGCTTGCGCCATGTGCTTGGCGCCACATTTCACCGATGTTCATCCGCAGGTTAGGTCGGTCCTGTTTGGGCTTTTTTGTTTTGCGTCCCATGGTGGTAAGGTGTGCGGGTTTGATGTCTGGGATCTCGGTATAGCAGGAAATAGCCCTTAAAAGTATGATTTTGTCGGCTTTTAGTTCGGAGCTGCAGTGGCATGCGACTTCTCTCTTTTTGGTAGCTAGGCTCCGCCTCCCTGATGTATGCACATACATATTAATACACAGATACACATTCACACACACACAAAGGGCACATATACACACACTGAAATATATACAAACAGGCACACCTTGACATACACACAAACACACACAATCTGACATGTTTAAATGTTTGTATTTGCAGTCACCCTCTTGTTAGATTACCTTTATGTCCAGGAGGATGGCTTTGGTTCTTGTCCTAGCTAAGGCTGATGGGAGTGAGCATGCAGCAGCAGCGCACTCCAGCTTCTCCTCATGGAGGTAATGTTTCTGTAATGTGCCTGTTATATGAGCTGCTATATAGCGCCATCAAATCAAACTATTACTACTGCACCAAGCTCTGTGAAGCTAGGAGGAAGTGACACGCTGTCACTTCCTTCCATTCAGCAGATACTGCATGGGCCTGAACGCGTTCTTAAAGAGCCATGGCACCCACCCAGGCCCCTGTTCAACGATAATACCAATCAGGTGGCCCTAAATGCATGAGCCACCCGATGGGCAAATTGCGGCGGAACCCTATCCTTAGCTTAGTGGATGACCTGACAGTCATCCCACCTTACAGACAGCCACATATACACAATATAGAAGACAGCCCACATAACACAAGAGGCAGCCTAAAACTACACCTGTACAATGCAGCAAACCACTCCAGAATACCACCATATACACATGCGTAACAACACAAATATTCCACAAACAGATAACGTACACATGATGCTCAGCCCAATCACAAATAACTAAATGTAAAGCCCACATAAAACCTCAACATGCCACTGCACCAATACATAACACATGCAGAATTCTCCAATGTACTTAACCCCTTAAGGACACATGACATGTGTGACATGTCATGATTCCATTTTATTCCAGAAGTTTGGTCCTTAAGGGGTTAAACAATGTCTTATAAATTTGGGTCAACACCGTATGGGACTTCGAAGCTTTAACCCAGCACAATGCTATTAAACGGTTGCCTACCCTGGACAGAGGATGACCAGATCATTCATGCCTCCAGCACAGGTTAGTTCTTATTTCCAGTGATGGGAGACAATGCTATACAACGATATTGGGAATACTCAGATGCCACAGGCCACTACAAATGCTGATGTTAGTTCCCTACAGAAAATACGCTGAGCTAAGCGCTCACATGACAAACCTCAAAGACATGGCCAAAACCCCAAATGCCAGACTTCATGCGATGCTGGGGGACATTAGAGGTGAAGTGCTACATTATTTACAGTATCCAAATAGTCCTAGTATCTCATTATTGAAAGCGAGGGAGATAGCGGAAAAAAGAGGAATAGTGAGTTACAGGGAGTGAGATGAAGTCAGGTAGTGGGAGAAAAAGCTAGTGAGTAAGAGACAGTCAGGGAGTGGGAGAAGTGGCTAATAAGTGACAGTCGGAGAGTGCGAATGAGAGAACTAGCTACCGAGTGTTCCTGCTGATTTGAGATTCCCGCTTCCTGCTGCGCTGTATACTATGTGACCTCGATAATCACATGGTTCTTGTGGCATCACAAGCCCTTTACCTGGATAGGATCTGACCGCTACCTTGGAAAGAGGCTCGAAACGCAGATACAGGAAGTATAATGACACGCAAATTTGCTTTCCGGTTAGGAACTTCCGTTTATTTTCATATGTAATACAAACGCCGTAAATGAACTGCTGCAGGTTAGTGACTCGGTTCTTGCCTTTACTCTGTAGTGTTGTTTTAATGTTTGAAGCGGGTTTCTCGTTCTTTATTCTGCTCTGCTTAGAAAGAGGAAGTGATTTCGTCATCTGATTTTTCCCGAGTTACATAGGTGTGAGTTGGCTTTAGTCATTGTCTTAATCACATCCAGATTCTGTAGATGACACATTTATGTATATATATATATATATATATATATATAAAATTAAACTCACACTATATGGTAATCAGCTTTTTTTATTCTCATCTGTTCAATCAACATGTATTGATTGATTTTTCTTCCTTCCTACAGATGTTAGATTACATTTTTGGATAAAAAGCATCTGAGATGCTTATACCTCAATTTTTTTGTTTCAACCAGGCTACTTGTGTGTGATTTTTTTTTTTTCACTTAAAGCGGCTCTGTGATGCCAAACTTACCTTTCTCCTATTGTTACCGCTTCCGATATCCCAGAATCTGTTCTTTTCGGATCAAGTTTTCTTTAAAACATAAGATAAAGTAGGGGCTACTTTGTCTTATGTATTTTTCCTACATAAGAAATTAATTGACCTTCTTAAGTCAGCTCCATACACCCCCTACCCCACATCTGATAAAGTGTCCCAAGGTGGGGCACCCACCCACTAAAATAAACACACCAAAAATAAATCCATGTTCACCCAGCGAAGGCTCTGTCCAGAATGAGCTCCACAGACCTTTCTATGCCCTGCAATTTGACTCCGAACGCTCTGATTGCTTTCAGACCTCTAAAGCTAAAACAGAAGATTTACACCATACTCACTGATATTTTCTTTTCACGGATAAATGCCATGGCAGCACTATGTATGGGTATAGCTCCTCCTCTTCTCAATTGGACCGGAACCACCTCCTAATTAATAAAAGAGACTTCCCTCCATGTCCCTTCAGTCTTAGTTCAATGCCAAACAAAAAAAATTAGAAAGGGTGGGACTGTAGTGCTGCCATGGCATATATCCGCGAAAAGAAAATATCGGTGAGTATGGTGTCAATTTTCTGTTTTCCCCGGATATATCCATGGCAGCACTATGTATGAGTTATACCGAAAGGTACAAGAGAGGGGAAATAAAAAAAAGGGGGAAATAAAAAAACAACCAAAAAACACCCAAGTCATTGCAAATTAAAACTCTTTATTGACAAATCAACTATAGGGCAGCTAAGAGGACACTTCTACCAGATTCCGTGGTAGAGGACCGAACTACGTCCAGCTGATAGTGATGAATAAATGTGTTAAAGGAGGACCATGTTGCTGCTGAACAAATGTGGTCCGGAGAAATGTTGGCTGCAGCTGCCCATGAAGAGGCTAATGATCTGGTGGAATGAGCTCGAAGACCTGGTGGAACTGGAACCCCGGAAGCTGCGGAAGCCTGACTAATGACTGAGATTCTCCATCGGCCAATAGAAGTAGACCAGCAGCCTGACCCCTCTTGTATCCTGAAGGAATGATGAACAGATAATATGATTTCCTTATTTCAGAAGTACGGTTCAGGTAAACAATGAAATAGATCCAGACAATGCCATTTCTCTTCTTCTTCAGATGAGGGATGGGGGAAAAAGGCTGGCAAGATGATGTCCTGATTCATATGAAATACGGATACTACTTTAGGTTGGAATGCTGGAACCGTACGAAGAATAACTCTGTCTTCTTGCAGAATTAAAAAGGGAGATTCACAGGAAAGTGCTCCAAGCTCTGAAATTCTTCTACATGAGGTCAGTGCAAGCAGAAGAACAGTTTTCAACGTTAGAGTTAGCAGATAAATAATATCTAAGGGTTCGAATGGAGTCCCAGACAAGGTGTGCAAAACCATAGGTAAGTCCCAAGGAGGGGAGCAAGACCTTACAGGAGGGCTTAGCTTGAAGAAACCTTCCAATTTCCTATCCAACAGAGCAGAAAGAGCTGAATCTGTACTTTCAAGGAACTGAGGCTCAGACCCTTATCAAATCTATCTTGCAAGAATTAGTCTGGAATAGATTCCAAATCCTCTTTCTTTTACGGGAACAGGACAAATTACTCCTTCCGCTGAAAGGGAAGAAACAAAAGAATGAATGGCCGCTGCTTTCTCTGGTTCTAGAGGAATTCTTGTAGACACAAACAGGGCTGGACTGGCGTCCCATCAGAATTGTTTTGACGTTCTGGTACTGCCACCTTGTCCCCAGGAGCTTTTGGAGGAGGAGAAAGGAAACACCTTTCCAAGATTGGAATCTGGAGAATTCTCTACCAGGCCTGTATCGTCTAAATTCCTTATCCCGAAAGGAGCGTCTGTCTTGTGGAAAAGATCTTTTAGGTTGTGTATCTTGAGGAAGGAAAGCTTCACGCCCTTCTACTGCCCTGTTAATACATTTGTCCAGATATTTGCCGCAAAGCATATCCCCTTGAAAAGGGAAGGCACACAGGCTATTTTTTGAAGAAGTATCTGCCACCCAATTACGTAACCAAAGAGCACGTCTTGATGCTACTGACAGGACTATACTTCTGGAGATGGATCTCACCAAATCTATAGACGCTTCCGATGAAAATTAAATAGCCAATTTTACTTTTTTCAAAGATTCTAACAGTCTGAATCTACTGACTCCACTTGAAATGTCTTCTTCGAGATTGTCCATCCACTGCTTTAAGGCCCTGGAAACTGATGTCAAGGCCACGGCTGGACGAAACCCAGAGCCAGAGGCAACAAAGGCTTTGGATAAGTTAGAATCCATATGTTTATCCATGGGATCATGTAATGATCTGGCATTATCCACTGGATGGGTGATCTTTTTGGCTAATCAGACAATTGCTGCATCCACTTTGGGGGCAGGATCCCAAGAAATACTGCCACCAGATTTAAAAGGGTAAAGTTTAGAAAAACGACCCTGAATAGAAGCTCTTTTCTCAGATTTTTTCCATTCTTGTTTAATAAGGTGCTCAATGGCCTCATGCAATAGAAAAGTAGGATTGCGCTTTCTTGGGTCTGCAAAGTGCTTAATAGAAGCCAGTTCTTCTTCTCTTGTCACTAAGGTCCAAGGTATCATGAACCACCTTGATTAGAGCTTCAATTTTACCATTGTCTATAAAGACAGGAGAAGCCCCAGACTCTTTATCTTGAGATGAAAATTCGTCTTGTTCAAATACTGGGGGCATATATTCATCTGAGCTCAAATCATGATATTTTTCAGGGCTAAAAGATCTACGTCTTTTCTTTGCCATATCAGACTGCAGAAGACCATCTGAAACTGCTTGACGGATGTAAGAGAGAACATCTGGATCCGGTTCTGCGTGACCTGCCACTGCTTTAAGACAAGCTAAAGTCTTTTCTCAGGCAGCACCTTGTCATCACAAGCTTCACACAAGGGGGTCTTATCCTTCTTTTTCCTGTATAAGGATCTGTGGGCAGAACTGAAATCCTCCAATTAGATAGATTAAATGCACTATTTTTAATTTGTATATTAAATGCTGAATGACCATGACCAGGGGACTCCATCCTAAGAGGGCAGCTAGAAAATTAAAAACAAAGTTTCTAGCAATCAAGAAAAACTATAAATTACCCAAAGGACTAAGAACAATAATTAAGGAACTCTATTACTTTAATAACTTATTAACTTAAAAACCTCTACAGTTCCTTATTTTAAATCAAAAGGAATAACAAATATTCCACTTACCTGCAGCTAGGTTAAAATATGATCACTACAAAGAGAATGATGCAGGGATACAGGAACCGATAGAGGGAAGTCCAAATGGCCACTTTAAATTGAAAAATAGAAACCCGAAAGTAAAATTTCCTTGCAACTGGCCTCATTCCGGCGTGCGTTCCACGTGCATTCCACGACCGAATTGAGGACCGTGATAGGCCGAAAAACTCGAAATGAGAAACGGAAGTGCTGGAAATGGAAAACGCGCAATTGTCGTGCGTTCCAATATGCGTTCCAAAACTGGCAAGTGAAACACAGAAGGACACCTATCCGGAAAGCACCTAAAGGGTGAATAAGCAAAGAAAAGCCCCCAGTCTTGCAGACCTCTTTCAGGAACTTCACCAGGAGACAGGACAGGATACATCCAGGAAATGGGAAAGCCAAGAAGCCCATAATTTATGTAGCAGGTAAGTGTACCCTTTGTTTGGGGAATTATCACCACAATGGGTCTGGCATATCCATCTGCTACCTATAGGGTCACCATAGCATAGCTCCCCGGTCACTGAGGGGAGAATCCTCCAGGGGGTCGCCCTTGGTGAGGCGCCATGTCCTGAGGCTTCCATGGGGAGAGAGGCTGAACTCCCCATGGGCTAGGGGTACATTAAGACCAGAGTAAGCCACAAAATAAAAAAGAGGAGGTGAAACATCCTATGTCCATGAGAAGTGGACAGGAAAAAAAGACTGAAGGGACATGGGAGGAAGTCTCTTTTATTAATTAGGAGGTGGTTCCTGTCCAATTGAGAAGGGGAGGAGCTATACCCATACGTAGTGCTGCCATGGATATATCCACTGTCCCCACCCTCCACACAGGGATGAGGGCCGAGGGACGACGACAATAGGTTCTACCTTACCTTTTGTCAATTAGGGCCCCACCCGTGGGGTTTGGCAACTGGAGAAAATAGATTACCCCGTCACTCCCCCCTTTTGTCAATTAGGGCCGCCACTCGTGGGTGGGGGCCGGAGGAGGGGACCCTTGGTCCCCGTTTAGTTGAATAGCCCCCACTTATGGGGTACAGGTGGGGGCTGAGGGAGGACACTATGTCCCCCTGTTAATTATTTTAATATATGCCCCACCA